GAAGTTTTGGTGTGAACTCACTTTCTTGCATTGAAAGCCAATCTGGAACCCAATCCTGGAATGGGAAGAGGACTTAGCTCGTACCAGCAGAGGGCAGTCTTTCTGCTGGGATCCCATTGCATTCCACAGATAAAGAAGCTGAGACTCAGGGATGCTTCCAGGACCTGTGCTCTAAGCATCTTTCCACTATGGGTTGGATACTCAGTCAACAAACACCCATGGGAGCTTAGCAAGTGCTGCCAAACCAGACATCGCTTTCAGCTCCTTCCTTAACATGGTAGCCCAAGCTCAGCCCCCGAATCCCAGCTCCTGCCCAGCTCCACATGCTTTCAGTTATCTTCTATCCCCTTCCTCCCAACAAATTGGTTAGGTAGGTGGTGGTGGGATAGGAAGGGTGGGGTTTTTGTTGTTTATTTTTGGTCAGTCATGGGGCTTCAACTCAGGCTCTAGGCCCTGTCCCTGAGCTTTTCTGCTCAAGTCTAGGACTCTACCACTCTGAGCCACAGCACCACTTCCAGTATTCTGGTGGTTAATTGGAGATAAGTGGATCCTAGACTTTCCTGCCCCAGCTGGCTTTGAACCGTGATCCTCAGATCTCAGCTTCCTAAGTAACTAGGATTTCAGGCATGAGTCACGGGCACTGGGCTCAAATGTAGCTTTTTTTTGGGGGGGGGGGGAAGGGGGCCATAGCAGCCCCTGGTGGCCATGTCCCACAGCCAGCCCCTGCAGCTTAAAGACCTGCTGAGTAAGGGAGGGAACAGAGATGGATTCCTGAAAGTTGCCCATTAGAACTCCAGAGACAAGGGATCAGAGTGGAAATGGAGCAGCTCAGCACCTGTCCCCTTGCCTTCTCTTCTTGAATGACCTTGACCCCTTGCCACAGTCACCCTTTATCTACCCTAACCAAGTGACAACCTTTGTCCAGATCCCAGCTCTGCATACCTGAAAACTGCACATCTTCCCATGCCAGGACATCTCCCCTCTCCCGGGCCCAGCCACCACCTGGGAGCCTTCTTCCTGCCTTCCCTCCGTCCATAGCCAACTTATACTTATACTTCCCCCTGCTCCTCCCCTGGGCACAGGAGTCCTTACCTGCACTTTTAAAAACAATCCATTAATTAACGACTGGGGCTTGAACTTAGCACCTGACTGCTCTCCCTTAGTTTTTTTCTACTTCAGGCTGGTGCTCTACCACTTTAGCCATACCTCCACTTCTGGCTTTTTGGTGATTAACTGGAGATGAGTCTCATGGCCTTTACTACCCTGGATGGCATCAAACCATGATTCTCTGATTTCAGCCTTCTGTTTTTGTTTTTGGGTCCGGTCATGGGTCCTGAACTCTGGGCCTGGGCGTTATCCCTCAGCTCTTCAGCTCAAGGCTGGCGCTCTACCACTTGAGCCACAGCGGCACTTCCGGCTTTTTTCTTTTTGCATATGTGGTGCTGAGGAATCGAACCCAGGGCCTCATGCATGCAAGGCAAGCGCTCTACCACTGAGCCACCTTTCCAGCCCGATTTCAGCCTTCTGAATAGCTA